AATATATCCCACCTCAAGAAGGTATTAGAATGCCCAATATACAGCCTCATCTGGCACCATCCCTCAGTATTCAGGTGAGAATGGCCAGTGCCATGAATTAGGTCCCTTGTAGGCTTTTATCTGGAAATTACCCACTGGAGGAGTGTGAGAAGGCAGAGAGCACCTATTCAGTTCAAATTCAGTCAAAGCATTTGGATTTTACTTGGTTCGAATTCTACGTGGAGAAGGAAAAAAATAAGGCAGAAAAAGCAGGGAGATAGAAAAAGGAATAAAACCCTACAAATACATTAATGATTTATTTGTACAAATACATTAATCCTAAATCGAGAGCTGATGTGCTGTTGAAGCAACACATGTTTCAAAAACCAATTAGTCAGGTTGGAAATATTTTCCCACAAACTACTGAGAAGCACTCGGTGCTTCTCTTCAATGACAGTTGCACATCAACAGCAACATTTTGGTCCTTCTCCAGGCAGTATAGAAAAGAAACACCAAATTACAAAGACAACCACCCCATGACTCCAATCAAAACAAACAAACAAAAAAGTGGGTTGCAGATTAGCTCTCCGTCGACATAGGAGATGATTTTGGGATTTTCCACTATGCCATAACTCTAAACAACTGATCTATTTTTTAACTCAGCATTGCAAAATACCCTCACAAAAGTCTCAGTGATTTACAGCTGCAAAAAGGATTTAAGGGAAATCTTTACACAGTTCAAACACTCCAATCATTACTGTTTCTTTTAGTATTTTGAGTGTTTTTCCTTATGAAAACAAACTCTGAAAAGAGAAAACCCAAACAGATTAAATGACTAAGAAGTTTACTCAAGGTAATGTACATATTTTCACTGAAAAGCACCTGCTGCAGGGTATCTTCTTGCAAGGTGGGCATTGATGCATCCTTCCATTCAGAAGTAGCTCCCACCATGGCCCCAGCAAGGATCATCACTGAGGCAGGGAAAAGTAGGCCTGATGTAGCTTTTCAAATTGATGCTGCTTGTGGAGAGGAACAAACAGCTTGTCTCCAACTGAGGGGCTGACTCTCCTCATTTATTCATGGCCAGCCCCCTGCCTGGATGGAAATAAAAATGTTTCAAAGATGACTGTGTGGGGGAGCTGGAGGACAGCTTGGAGGCACACTGAGGTTAGCACATTAATTTTTTATCTCTGGAGACTGGGTATCCAGTTATGCTTAGAGTACACAAACAACTTTGGCTGGTCTCTCCAGTAGAGATTTATCCACATAATAAAATCTGTGATGGAACTGGGCACAACAGGCTGATGCCATGAAATAGTGTACACAGGTGGTTTTGCAGGGCAGATGCTTAAGCTAGCTGAGGGGCAGGAGGGCACAGGAATGCATTTTCCTTAACTACATGTATTGCACAATGGATCAACCTGCACTCAGCACAATGTACTTCATTTAGGATGTCATTGGCCAGAGTGCTTGTGGGCATAAGATGCTGTTCAGTTGCTGCTCCTGCACAGCCGCCTGCAATCAACATTTCACACAGCAAAATGCCACTGAGAACTCTTCTCCTTTAAAGGAGAGGAAGTTTTTCTCCATGTAGACACACTATCCTATTCTCCCAGGAATTAAGAAGGAGCATTTATACTAGTACACTCATTCACAGAGACATTTCAATAGATAGAAGTCTAATGTAATTCTTATATCAGAAGTGCCTCAAAATTTGTGAGCACCAGCTGCCCCCAGAGCTGGCCTGTACCCATGGAGAGAGATGGAATAAAACAGCAGGTGTTTTGTGGCAGGCTTGGATGCACCCTGGGCTCACAAATCTCACGGTCTCAGTGCCAACATGTAGAGGAAAAGCCAGCAGAGAAAAAGTCTGAAAATGGTGTGGAATCATTTATTTTTTCAGTGGAGTTGAGGAAATGGGAGGTTGACTTTTTAAAGGGTTTTCTATAATTTCCTTTTCACAGTTCAATACTCAGGTAACAAAATCAGAGAGTAGGTCAGAAATAAATGTTTGTATAGGCAGAGGCAAGACTAGACACCGAGGAAGGGCTGTTTATTTGTGTCAAAGGGCTAGATAAAGCATAAAAAGCAAGCCACTAAAACTCAAACAAATCACAGGCTAAGGTGTTGACAGTTGAACTATCTTTCATGTTGCAACAGGTAATCTATATGTGAGAAAGAACAGAAGGAGACAGAGATGTAAAGAGATGTAAACAGACAAACCTTCTACACAGTCGAGGACAGTGAGATGTGCCAAGGAGGTGAGACATGGGACTTGGGCCAGTCCCAGTTCTTTGATTCACCTATTCAATGGGTCTCAGTTTTAGGTAGGTTCCTCCTATCTACATCTCTTTTCCAATCTCTGGATAATTTTCTGACCTCCTCAAATTGGTCTGTGTATGAAATAGAGGGGACTGAATATGCAGAAAGACAAGAGGCTTTCAGGTCTTGATCTGGCAGCAGTTAGGGCACCAACAGTTGAATCCTGCAGAAGCCCTGCTCCCTCCTGCATCACCAAGGCTGCTGTTACTGCAGGTTCTGCAAGGAGTGGAAGCTGTAGAGGAGACGAGGGTACAGAGGAAGGAAGTTCATGCAGCAGCCACCCTCCTGAACTTTACTGACCTGGTGCTCACCTCCCAGGGCACAACGAATTCCAGAGGGCCGCTTTGATTTGCCCTGCCTCTTCTAAATCAGGCTGCTCGTATCTCTGACACACTGCTCAGCAAATAACCAGATCCTACTCTACACCATATCTCTGGTCCTCCTGCTCAGTGGGCTGTGGATTAGCTGTTTGGATTAACATCCCCCTGCCTTCCCTCCCTCCCCCTACCCCACCCCCCAAGCCCACGCAGAGAGGACTCTTGAAGCTCGAGACCTACGATGCCGCAGACCTGTCAAATCTAATTCATAACACATGCCTAGCAGTTCTTAGGGGAGAGGAAGGATCTGATGCTCTGGCTCCCCACCATCCCCCTGTACAAAGGGACCATTTAATGACTGCACATTAGCAATGTGGATAATTAGCATTCACATGGAAGATAAATGGCAGCATAAATTAAATATTGCCAAGTGGAAGAGCAAAGATGCAAGATCTGAGCTCAAGGCTCTAAACAAACAAACAGGCAAAAAGGGAACAAGCAGCCACTGTGGCAGCTCAGCCATTTGGGACAGTTACCTTCCAGCATCTGGGATTTTCCCCAAGGCTGATCTGCACATTTGCATGGCTGTTGCCCATAGCTCACTGGCTCCTGGCTGGTTATGCTTTCCACTCAGGAATCTGGGCATCAGAGAGGTTTATCCCAATGGTTCTAAATTTCTGCCCGCTTGTGGATCTGTGCATCAGCAGCTTCCCTTTGCCACATGCTCTGAGGGAACACAAGCCCAAGCAGCTCTCATGCTACTCTTTCCCGCAGTGTAGAATGCACCTTTTTTATCATGGGCCAAAGTCAGCTGCTCCTAACCTTACCATAGCTCTTCTAGTTAACTTCTATCATTTCCTAAGCACCAGACACAAGGACTGAGACCCCTTAGCACCTGTGTCAAGCTGAATTCAGGGTATGGGACACTACCTTTCTTTTTTTGGGCATCTTTGCAAGACCATTATCAGTATTAATTCAGTTCAGATTTGCAATATTCCTCTCAGGTATGTAACTATTACTGACTACTCCAGGCACAGGAAAAAAACAACCAACCAACGAAAAATACTCCCAAAGCGGGTGTAAATGTTAAGTAAACAAAAGCTACTGGGTGAACACTGACATTCTCCTGCCTGCCCAAGCAGTCACTCTTAGTGCATTGACAGCTCAAGTTTATCAACAGCTGGAGGAGTCAAAATTACTTTTACTGTGAATCTACCAAACATGTGAATAACTAAAAAGGTAGAGCATAAAAGTGACAGAAACATAGAGCTTGCCAAATGGGATCACACTAAACAGTCCTTCAAGCTCAGACAGTGGCTAGTAGCAGATGCTTTGGAGGAAGGAAGCCCCCTCCCACACTTCCCTGGGGACAATTATCAATTATGCCACTTAGAAAAAAAATGTTTTCCTACTTCCATATTTCTTGCAGTTCTTAAGGTATTAGAAAGTGTTTCCCTGCATATTTTTCCCTGTAAGCATTTTATTGCTTTATTACTTTGAATGAAAATAACACAGATCATATGCTGATCCAAAAGAACTTTTTGAAAGTGAACAAAGCTATCTACACAAATCCCAAGGTCACAGCAAACATCACATAGTATGTAAAACTGAGAAACAGGGGATTAGAGACTTGCAAAAATCAGTAATAGAACACAGCATCCTTGACTTCCTGTTCTGTGCCTAGGGAGAACAGAAGGGACAGTCAAACAGGGTCATGGACCTCATGCTCACACTGAGCATATGTGACTCATCACAGAAAGATTTGGACGACTTAGATCTCTTTCAGCATTGTACCAGTGTGGGAAATTGAGGCACATTCTCCTTTCGTTCCTGCTCTCCTTGCAGACCAGTTCTGATGTGTTTTCATAGCTTTTATTAAACCATAACTAAGGAGCAGCTTTTGGCAAAGTGGAGGGTAAGCTGTTTATGCAGCAGGTGAAGGTATAAGGGAGAAAGGTGGTTATTTTCATACTGAAAAACTGAGACATTGACAAATATCTTTTATTTAAAGGCAAAACAAAGGCAGTCCCCTGAAATGACTGGATGTGTATTTCTTCAGCATCCTTACTAAGAACCTCTGGGAGGCTGCTTGATGATGGGCAGCTCGGCCATCTCTACTTTTCCCCCCTCTCCTTGCCACCTCCTCCCCACAGGAGCAGTAATGGAAAAGTGACTTGCTGCAGAGATAATGCTGGGTTTGAAATGAATTCCTGACTAGCTGAGCCAGCACCCGTGTGAGCTGTGGCTGATTAGCTCCAAGCATCCACGTCCCAATCACTCACAACTGAGCTAGGCAATAACATCAGCCTCCCCAAGGCAAAGACAGGGTGGAGATAACACCCCTGAAAAGGATCTCAAAGGCAAAGGGAAGATCCTACTCACGTTTGTGGTTTTCATTTCGGTGGACGGGGGAAGAGCGGGTCTCCTGCTCACGGGCTTCATCACCCTCTTCACTGGCGAGGTGGGTGTGAGCATAGTGGTAGCTCAGCCCAGGCCTGTTCTTGTAACGCTTGCCACAGACTGGATGGAAAGGAGATATGAGGGAGGGGAAGAGAGAATGGAAACATCAGTGTAATCTACAACCACAGCAGCATCCTCTCAAATAATGCTCCCTTTCCCCTGAGAACAGCACCATGCACTCCATGCACCTGCCCAAAACCCTTCCAGCTGGCACTGGTGAAAGGTGACAGAGGCAGCCCTGCAGCTGCAAGTCTCCAAACAAGCTTTCTTCCCACCATGCTGCCAGCAGTCCTTCTCACAGGCTAGGCAAATGCATTTCGTCCCTGCAGATCACAGAGCCCTAATCCTCTCTGCTAAGATTACTAACAAGACTGCACATAAAATTAAATGAAATGCCAGTTTCCAGTGGTGGTGCTGCACAATGCACAGCAATGGGAACAAGACTGAGAAGAAACGACATTATTTTCTTCATTACTGATCTCTGAAAAAAGGAAGCAGCTGTGATTTTTAAAGGCTTTCTCTAAGAGGTTAATAAATAGCTTTATTCACAGATTCCCAGTTAAGATAAGGATATGGAAATCATCCACAGATTCTTGCTAAAAAAATATGTGGTAGTGATACTTATTTGCCCAGGTAAACTCCAATGAACAATGCAATATATGACAGAGAATACTGCTTCTGAACTTTCATTTATTTTAGGATTAAGTCAACAGATATTAAGGACAGAATCAAACAGCTTGGGGTGATGAAAGGTCTACACTTTCACAGGGAGATTAGCAAGGGCAGGCAACATCATAGGATTCATTAGATATGAATTGATTTTCTATAAAGTTTTATGAATTGATTTTCTATAAAGTTTTTAATTCATGTTCTCGTCTCAAAAATTTATCACTTTTCATCTTCAAAGCATTTTTTGAATGTTTATTTTCTTTTATACAGCTATTTGTCAAATATTGCCATTTTAAAAGACTAGAAAACAAAGACAAAAAGTTTAGTGCCTTTCTTGCAATTTTTTCCTCCCAGAGACATTTTCAGTCACCTTAATTAACCTCAGGGATTTCACACAGAAATAAATGTCATGTCCAGCAGTATGTCCTGCATTGTGACCATCCACTCCTAAAAGCTTAAGTTGGCCCCAATATGTGTCCTGCAAGATATATAGATACTTACTTTCCATTCTCCAGACACCTGAGTCTGGGAATGTCAAAGACTCCACAAATAAATTTTTAAAAAATAAAATAAACCAAACAAACAACCACCCTCATCCCATTTATTCATTTACATATACATAAAATTTAAAATTTTATTCCTTTCTGCTACTACTCAGAAAACACTAACTGATGTTCCACCTTTTGGAACAGATCATAAAAAACTGTAAATAAAAGCTTATTACAGTAATATATTTCATTCTTAATCTCTTCTGATTTGCAAGCTCCCTCCAGGAAAATGCTTTTCTTTATTAGAAACATGTAAAACAAGCTCATGGTACATATGAGTGATCTGGAATATTAGATATTTTTTCCCAGTTATCTTCATCGTGCAAGGTGATGATCACAGCATCATCATAACAAGACAGAAGTTTCTTGGAAGTTCAATATGTCCTGTCCTCAGTCACAGATTTTTTTAAGTCTTTGAATGGCCTTGATTTAGAAAGGAGACCTACTGCAGGAGGGAAGAGGGAATATTGAGAGAACTAAAATACTCATATAGATATGCACATCCATTCTTTGAAGCATCTGCCTTCATTTTTCATATTTAAACCTAACACAATTGCCAGACATTTTGAAGAACTAGACTGTTGTTAGATGCATGCGCTCCACAAAACATCAGTTCAGACTCCCTCTTCTAGTACCATCCTTGTTTTCTTCCAGTGCATTTTGGAGGGGGAAACTACTTCTCCTTCTCTGTGGTCCTGCAGGGCAAAGGACAAGCAGTGGAACAGATGCTGAACAAGAGTCAAAACAACAAGATATCAGCAGTTCTGTGTGACTTTCCCCATATTTGGAATAGTGGAAAAGCATAACACTTAAGTAATCATCAACCCAGAAAGAGCTCACTGCTTAAATTCTTTTATAATGGTAACCTCCTCTAATTACATAAATGTTGCAGCTTTACTTAGAATGGAGAAAGAGATTTACATTTCTAGTAGATTGACCATCTGCTAGATGAGCTGGATCAGCTCATCAAGTATCCTACTCTATCCCACTTACTTTTATGTGTTTGAAGAAGAATGTTTAAAAAATAATTCTATTGCTATGAATTACAAATACTGCTCAAAGACTTCTGTCAAATTATTTCCAGGACACTATCAGGTGATCAATGCACAAAAGGAGACTTGCATTCCCTGCAGAAAGTCCCAAGATGGTGGTGTTTACTCCATTCCTTACAGGATCCTGCAGGGATTTTAGCTATGGTGTTAAGGATGACATAGGAAATCAGACGGGTCTGGAGACTCGACCTTCTTCAGCAAAAAAGTATCAGCTCACCGGGAAAAAGCAAGTATCAATATAAGCTGAGTCAGTAGTAATTCTGCAGCTGAGTCCTTTCCATTGTGAGGACTTACAGGTGGCCTTCAAGGGTGACAGCAATCTCTGACATGCCTTGTGAGAAATTGATTTGAAGGACTTCATGCCCAGAGCTGAGGCAAATAAATTTGGTTTACATTGTCTCAGCAGATCCTTTGTAGGACCAAAGATTTGCAGTTCCAGCAGCCTTTGTTCTTGGTGTCTAGATTTTTCCATTTTTTCAAATTCACTTTGTGTCATAAAAGAGTCCGAAGCAATGCCATGAATTGAAACTGCAGAGATTTCATGTTCCTCAAACAAATCAGACTTTTGCAGAGGGAAAAGGGTCATGATATTAGTCAGGCAAAAGAACCATTGGCTGCAGTGAGACTTTGCTAGAATGGAAACTAAATCAAAATTTCATGGATTCTTCAACAGATTGAATCTTCCTGAATTCACCCAAATCTCTTATTTTCCAGGTAAGAGCACATTTTATTAATCTACTGTATCACTGTGCTAAGAAGTAGTTTCTATAAAAGGGTGATCATTAATAAACACTTAGCTCTTATATAACTCTTCCCACTGCAGAGTGGCTTTTCAAACATTAATTAATCTTCCTCCACATTCCTGAGTGGGAAATACTATTCTCATTTCAGTTCTGAAAAAAGAGAACCACAGAGGGGCTGAGTTGCCCACACAGTGATCTTTTTTCATTACCAGGACTGGAATCCATGAGTTCCAGCATCCACACCAGTGCTTACACCACATCTTTCTCATTCTTAGAGCTGACAAAAGCATAATGAGAACTGGTTCTCCCAGTCTGAGATGCATGCTGTTGATTAGTTTTTAACAGTATGCAGCTCACACATAGCAAGTGAGAGTGTGCCTTTCATAAACTTTGTCCAGTGGCCTTCCTTTCAGCAGCTTTGACTTTTTTATCTTCAATTTCCCTTGCTGGATAGGCTCATCATCCTTGCATGTGGTAGATTTCATCCTGAATCTCAACACTGGGAAGTTGACTTGATCTTTAATTAGGTGGCCAAGCTCAATAAAAACAGTGGGAGTTTGTAGAACATAACCCACTCCAAATCTTCCTGCATTCAAAGGATATTTTGTTGCTATGGGCTGATGTGAATGCTGCCTTAGGAACAAGCTGAGTAAGTAAGCAGCAATTCAGCAGTGCAGACCAAATGTCACAAATGGGGAAGAGGGAGAGATTTTTTTATGAGGCCACCAAACATTCTCCTGTGATAAACCTTACTTTCCTTCAAATTTGAAGACTGATATTAAGATGTTACACAACTACATTATGGGGGGAGGGGAACAGTATAATTGCAAGCATTGAGTGTTTCACAAAAGAGACCTCTCTTCTATGTTCTGGACTGTAGCACCCTGCAATTCTTTGGATAAACAAATTATTTCTCTGATTATATTTCTCAATGATTAAAATTAATATAAAATACTTCCCCTGTTAAAAAGGGGATTTGAAACCTATGACTTAAAAGATTTCCTCATCAAATATCTAATGGCTGTGTTGCTGTCATTTTGAAATAGTTACACATTTGGTCCTTGGCAGCCTGTGAGCTGTGTTCCAGCCAGCTCTCCACATACATTTTGCACAATCTGTCACCAGTATGAGACAGAAGGAAACAATCCATGTTTCCAGTGGAAACAGGAAACTGGAGGAGTACATGCTAGGGTTTCTTTGGATTTTGGGGTTTTTTTGGTCACTGAATTTTGTCCCACTCATTGTCTTTCTTTGCTTTTCTTTGTTGCCTCCTGTTCCTTGTTCTCATGTGTACTATGTCAAATACTGAATCTTGAGTTAACTTCTGGCAGGCAGCCGTTCCTCAAAGTTATCTTCCTGTCCTACCATTCACTCCACTCAAAAAAAAAAAAAGACAAAAAAAGACAAAAAAAAATCCCCCTGTCCTTGTTTTGCACTGGTTTGGTTAAGAGATCTCAAACATTAACAATGCATTTTGACCTCCACTGGTACAAAGACTTCACATTCATCCCTCTTTGCTCAGTACTGTACACACTATAATATAGTCACACTGTACACCTGTAGTATGAGAGCAGCTATTTAGCATCCAATTCCATAGGGAATTTTCTGCAGGTAGAATAGGGAGGTAAATAGTCCTTGTTTCAGTGTCCCCTGAGGACAAGTCCCAGAATCTACCTGCTGTATTAAGATCACAGTAACTCTGAACCCCAGTTCAAACCCCAAAACACGTGCAGCTCAACAATACAGCTGTGCACATTTCAATAAATGGGTTGCTAACCAGAGCAAAGGAGAAAACAAATATCCTACATGAGCAGAAAATGTTCAACTGCCAGAGTCAATTCTGTTTCCCTTTTACCATGTGCTCTATTCAACATCTATGTTAGTCAGTATTTTTTTTTTAATGTCCTTACCTATCTAATCTTGTCTTTTCTACTAATAATATATTCAAAGGATGCCAAGAATAGCAGATATGGTGGGAGAGTTGTTTGTTGAGTACATCTGAACAAGCATCTTATTCTAGATCTTACTGCTGATCTATTTAGGGATTCACACCAGAAGGGATAATACCAGGAGATGATTACTGAATAACCTGTTAGGTCAGCCATCTCTGTGCCTCTCATGGATATATAGCAGAGCAAGTATCTTAAATCCAGTTTTTAAAAGTAATTGTAAGTACAAGTAAATCTATGAACCACTCATATTCAGAAATGCGTCTTTCCTCAGAACAGCACGTTTAACTTCGTTCTGGCCACTACCACTTTAAAAAGTACTTTGGAGTTTTTCCACATGAAAGAAACAAGCTTAGTAGAAGAGCTGAAGAAAGCACAGCTGAAAGAAGCCGCAGTAACTGTTTGCAGACATAGAAGACATTGTTATTTTCCCTCAAGAACAGTACAAGGACTGCTAGTCTTGGACTTCAGCAGAGAGAACGTAGGTAAATAACTAGAGAAACCTTAAGTTCTTGAGGAAAGAATCAGCTTCTACAAAATACTACAAGATCAGTGTCTCTGGGTACATACAATGCTGTGTTAGTCACTGATCCATCAAAAATCCTAGGAAGGTTTCAGTCAATGCTCATTTTGCACAAGGAATGGATCTGAATGTACAGTTCAGTCTCAGAAGGACTACAAAAAAAAAGGATATAAGTTGCTATGCTAAAATAGGAGTTTATATGGGAATAAAACTAAAAGGAGATGAGGACATACTGGTAAAAGGAAAAGAAATAATTTCTTTAAGAGGTGGGCAAGGGAATTCTTCCGTAGACAAAGGAACAGAAAAAAAAGGTGGAAGTATGTACATAGTCCCATGTCTCCATGGGAACTTGAGAAGAGTGAAAGCATAAAAGTGAGGAGGGGCAGCAGGAAAGTTAATTGCTTGCAGAGATTCAGCACAGACTAACTTCTCTGGCTAAAGGAAGTAGACATTTGGAATCATGGAACTCAAGTGCTACAACTGATTGCAACTTTTAAACCTGAATACAAATTTCTAGATACAAATTCAGAGATGGTTTTTCTTTCGAAAAAGTAGTAAGTAATATATAATAAACACTAATAAAATAGTAGAAGGATTTCTAAGAAGACTGCTCAGTCGGAATAATGATTCCCTAGCTGAATATTTGACAGTGAAATGGCATCAATTCTTATTATTAACCATGTAGGTATTCATTTATTCATTCACTCTGTCCCTCTAAAAATCACATGCCCTGTTCATCAGGAACAGTGGTGGTGGTCCACCTTCCACTTGCTTGTCATCAGAGGCTTTGCTTTGCTTTTCAAGCTCTACTTTCCACTCTTCTTTGAAGCACCTGCTGCCTTTCCTTGCCAGGTGCTCAAGGTACTTTTGGGACTGCTCTCATACAGCTGCTAAGCCATTTGGCTATGTTACCATTTGCAGTTTATACCCATCTCCAACCAGGCTTGCCTGCTACTGTTGTAATTGAAGCCATCCCAAGGGAGCTCAAGGCACAGAACAATCCAATGCAACTGGCTGAAAATCTGACCACCAAGTTTTCTACTTGGTGATGTGATGAAACAATGCATTTCATGATTATCCTAGCAATTTTATTGATTCTTTGATCAAATGTTTTATTCTGAACTTCTACTAGAGTATATGCTCAGTAAAACCAGCTGAAGTATTTCAGAATGTTTCCTTCCACAAACAGGCATCCAACCACCTCTTCTTAAAAACACAGGAGGACAAAATATTTTGAGCTTTGAAAACCTTTATCACATAGAAATTGCATGTTTCCAGTCAGCTTTAATATTGGGACCAAGTTGAATACTGATGTAGGTCTGAATGCCTCTTACAGAAAAAGTCAGGTCTTTTCAGAGGTAACATTGCTATTTTCCAGCACAAGGGGCAGTGCCACTGGGCATCACACTTGCATCATCTTACCAACACACTGTCTCATTGTTTTCTAAAACCCTTTTATAACTGATGAGATCTGTTGATTTATTCTTGTTTACCATAAATATGAATGTGCAAATATGATAAAAGGGCAAAGTAGTTTTTGACCACAAATCATTTTTTGTGCCCCATGCAGTTTATAAGAAAATGAATTTGGTTTAGCTGTGTTTATGCTGTCTTCTCTCTGGTCATTTTCAAAACTCGAATATCAGTGTACTTGCAGAAAAAGCAACCTGGAGGCAAATTAAATAAACTACAGAAGAAGCAAACTGTTGGCCCATTAAGCTAATTATTTGTACCCATAATGCAATTGAGAGAATAATGCTTTCCTAAACAGGAAACATATACACTGTTTCACCTGCATGTTTCCATGTAAAACAAACTTATCTGCCCACAACATCTGCACAAGGAGTACTGCAAACCAATTCCTAAACTACCACAATTAGATTGAGTTTTATCTATAAAAATATTCATCAAATCATTTCAAAGAAAAAATTAATCCAAGAAATCCACCTAAGCAGGATAATAGGCCAGTTACTCATAATTAATGGCATGTCATGTTTATATAGAAATTTAACATGGGCAGGATATTCTTCAGGATGATGACATTACAACTGGGACAGTTCTTCCCTTCTTCTCTAAACTCAGATAAAAGAGTTCTGCTGTCATATAACCCTTTTATCAGCTATCTACAATGGAAAAGGAGAAGTCACTGTGCAAAATCTGGAGTCCAAAATTCCTTATGACGCACCTGTAACTGTAAGTTTCCTAAAAGTGAAAGGTGTCAGCCATATGAAATAGGAAACATTTCCAACATTAAAGATGAGATTTTGTGCTCCAAAATGTAAGCCAAGGCAAATTCTGTCAATGCAACAATTTATGAGAGTCTTGACTTCAGGCCAGATTTCTGCTGCCTGCTTTGATATCTTCCATGTTTAATCTACTCTGTGCAAATCACTACTATGCATGTTGGGAGTTCTCGGTAAAATCCAAAAGCAGTGCAAGATCAGACAATAGAGAGTCATCATGTTCCAAATTACTACCACTGACAAGTGTCCTTGGATTTAGAAGGATGTTCCAGAAAAGAGATAAAGAAAGATATGCATATACTGCATATACCACCAGCAAAGGAAACCTGTGGATTTCAACAAGATACATCTTGGGCTCTCACTGAAGTCTTAGAAGACACATTTTAGTTCTTCCAGTGCACTAGGACTGCTATTTAACCACAGCATAGGTCTTCTGACTCTTCAGAACTTTAAGGGCTCTTCCTCCTTGACTATGTTTTTATCATCTGTCATGTTCCCCTCATATGCAAGTCTTTGGTTTCTGGGCACATACAGTTACCTCGTCTCACCACACAAGAATATGATTTCACATGGAATATAGTTCTTATTCACCATGCAAACTCCTTATTTCCTCACGTTTTTAAAAATCAGCAGAAAATCCCTCCAAAGATTGACACAGCAAGAGTTATTATTTTAAGGTTGGTAATGTTGCAAGATAGGCAAAAAGGGGGTTCTAGTTGTCCTCAAAACCAGCTGGTTTGGACAACAGAAGTGAAGATTTGCTGTCCTCCTACTTCTAATGCCTTTTTTTAGGTTATTGTCTTACAGGCTAGAAGGCACCTGGTAGCACAAATTACAATTGGATGTACATTCTAGAATAAGCCTTAAGATGGGATATCTCAAAATGATGTGGGTAAGATAAGTGACCTTCACAGAAACAAAGCAAAAAAAGAATATCAAAAGAAAAAGGAAGGCATCAAGGACTAGAGTGTAAAAAAAAAAACCTCAAACAATTGCATAACAAATATTAGACTCCTCACTCATACTGCGACTCTGGTACCCTCCTTCAGTGTTGATGCTGGGCTCTAGTATAATTTTTCCATTCAGACAATGCCTTGCTTCACCTGAAGTCCAACTGCAAGGTACCAAACAGCAGGACTGTATTCAAAGGGAATATGTATCAAAACAAAGCATTTGAGATGTTATTTGTTTCTTAGAAGGGCTCAGCTTTTGATGATGCCACAAGACATCTGGTGAGGGATAAGACCTTCAGAATTTAGCCCAGTGAGATTTTAAAAGGACTGAAGGGAAGAGAATCACCAAATATATCAAGAGACACAACAAGGGTGAAGTACCTTTGTCGGAGATTTTTGAGTTATGCTTTTGTTTGTAACTATCTGAAACAGAGAAAGAAATAGAGGGTGAAACTTACATGGGGGAAAAGAAGACAAAAGGCAGAGAAGCCCGAAAGAGAGAAAGAAAAGATAAGAGATGATTTATTAAAGGGCAAAGAAAAGTGGAGTCTTGCCGAGAACTTAATTTTATTTCCTTCATGCAAAAACACCAAGAGCATCAGCAGCAGGTGGCAAACATGCAAGCCAGAGAGCAGCAGAATGTTTTGCTGTAATATATGAAGCCCTGAGTGCACTGAGCTGGTAGGACCAGGCTGGAAGCAGAATAAGCTGTCTGGTTGCTACTTACTGTCACAAACATAGGGTTTGTCATGATCATCCTGGGAGGCAGCATCATTCCGTCTCCTGCCCCCTCCAGATCCCCGAGCCTGCAAGGACAAGAGGAATGTTAGCATTATTCCATCACCAGGTCTCCTTGCACCCCACACCCTCCTATGAAAGATGTGCAGTATAAACTAAACAAATCCTCAGCTTCCATACAGGTTTCTCAAAGTGGTCATGACCCTCCATCTCCTAAGATGTGCTCTATGTTAATGGACCTTGTAAAGCAATGGAGATCCTCTCCACAGATGGCTCATACTGTTCATCCGCAGCAGTAGGTCACTGCCAGCACATATTCAGTCGAGTATCATCACACATTCATTTCTGAAGATGTTCAAATACCTCGCTGAACTGAATATGAACGAATGAATAGATGAACAGGTGTTGAAGAATATACACAAACATTAAATCAGCCAGAAAACAGGCCCCAAATAAAAGAGAGGTCAAATTATTTCCTTCAGTATTTTCAAAGGGGCATTGTTTGTGTTGCTATGTTTTGTTTTCTAGCTGAAAAGCAGTGTGTTGAAATGGTCTTCTGGGACAAAAATACTGTGGCTAATTATAAAATGGAGCTTTGGTCAGTTAGTGGAAAAGATTAGATAATGTGGCTACCTGCAATAATAGAAATTACCCAGAAATGTCTCTGCAGTTCCGTGTTCCTAAAATGGACCAAACTGGCAGCTAAAGAAACTGAAAAACTTTGTTTCTCCACAGCACAGACTGCTCTGTCTTGAGCTCCAGGGGTGAGAGTGGAATTCGGCATCAAAACTACTCAGTCCTGACCCTTCTCAGCTGAGATGCCAACAAGAAAACAGCTCATATCTGCCCAATGCTGGAGTTGTGATGTGAAACTGGGAACTGAGCCAAGGCCTTCCATTCTTTCATGTTCACTAATGTACAGTCTGTAAATGACAATCATTTTAGACTTGATCTTTGTTTGAGGAAGTGATCACAGGTGGATGGCTAAATAGTTCTTTATTAATTCTCCTTACTACTCTATTCCTGGAAAAAAATGACAGAATTGCTTCTGCTGCTCCTCTTATTAAGCTGTTCATATTTCTCACTCTAGACAAGGCCACCTGACTCAAATCCTGCAAGCCTTTTTATGTGAAAATAAGAAAAGGACAGAGCTTTGTTAGGTAAAGCTGAAGAAGGTGTAGAAATTCTGAGAATATTCGCACCCAGTCATAAAGGGGCCATAGAAACTTTTTCTCTCTTCTATGAGCTTGGAACAGAACTATCACTATTAGAATTGTGTTCCACTGGATATTTAAAGAGAAGTAATAAGGAACAGTTTTACACTGGCTGGACAAAGTCTGTTAAAACAGGGATTTATAAAAACTTCACATGTTATTTCCCTGGGATTGCTCAGATCTAACTCTTAACACAGTCCCAAAGGAGAGACATGGATTTGCAGCTATCTGGATGGGGTAAATACTACTATGTATGACAAGGATAACTCTGCCTTCTGCAAAGACATCTGAGCAGTCCAGCACACATGTGTAGACCAAGATCTGTAAGGGTGAACTGAAAAGGAGTTTCACCCTAGAAATGGCCTCAGCAACAATTGTTTGGTGGAAGCTTCTTTACTGACTGTATCATATAAAATCATCTTACAAGTCTGCACTATTTTCTTTCTGACTGCCAGCTCTTTAAACCCCCTTTGGGCAATGAAATCAATCCCAGGCTAGTTCTTTTCTTCCCTTACTGCTGCTAAATGTGCTGCAAGCTGAATTTCAGTCCATGGCAGCTCCTCCACAACCCTCAACTCATCAGGGAATCTTCACATAGACAGGTGATTGGCCCTTATAAATATTTCTGCTGGTACCCAGATTAGGATCCAATTTCCCCATTTTACCAGCTGCGTTGGTTTTTCAGGGCTATGAAAAAGATGTAAAGTCTTATATTTGTCACTAGTCAGTGGCTCTGACTCTATTCACACTCTGAGAACATACCTGTTGAGTAAGAAGGTAATATTTTACATAGGTACATTTCAGAATATGATACTAATTTAGGGTTTTGTTGCTCAGAATTTTGCTTGTCTTACAGTCAGCTGTTCCCTTTCAAACTGTTCTCTACAGAAATGCAGGGGTACAGCATTCGTGGCATGACCACGTGTCACATACACTTTTTCATGCAATGAACAAAGAGGGGGAAATTTTTCAAGTCAATGACTTTCAATGGGACTTGGGTTGCTAAATGTGCTTGGTGCCTTTGAAATTGTCCCACGGGATATCCGGCTGATGAGCAGTCTGTGCAGGTGCATCTGCGTACATCTCATATCTCCTAGAAAACCACTCTGCCAGCTCCTACCACATTGACCCTGTCCAGCAAAAACACTAAAACTCTCTTTCTGTAGATCTATCTCTTCAGCCTTCAGTGTCCTTCCTATGCCCCCATGATTTCATGGGCTGGCCTTGAGGGGACAGGAAACCAAGCAGCTGCCCCAGAGGCACTGAACTGAATGCTCCCTGCTTGCTGTCTGTGCTCCAGGCTGTTGAATTCAGTCATCCACAGCTGCCTTTATTCTCCTGACAGGATGCAGCAAAGACTACAAGACTTGACGTGTGCGGCCTGGACCCATGGCCCAGCAGCCTTGAAGCAGCCAGAGAGAGTAGCCAAAAAGACAGATGGAGAGTCCAGAATTAAAAATAAAGTCATGCTGTAGGGAAAGGAAGGGGCATGTGCAATTTGGAAAGCCCAGAGCAGTAATTCCATTGCATTAATCCTGCATATATGCTGTTAGTCCTTCTCACTCCTCTGAATCCCCAAAGGTCAAACTCCACAGGATCTTGTTTCCTATGCATGTCCTTCCCCTCTTCTGCCCTCTAAAACTACCCTAACCAAGTCCTTCCCAGAAACAAAGAGCAGCCCAGGTTTCATGTTGCCTAATTTTAAATCCTTAGCCTTAATTCCCTATACTGAGTCAGGCTAGAAAAGGGCTGCCTTTAGGAAACTGGCAAAGCTCTTGCGACCAGATGCAATTCAGGCTTATCAGTTTTCAACAGCTAGATAACCTGGCCACAATTCTGAAATTCTAATTTCTACTACATTTTGCTTTGGTTATTGATGCCATCAAATAAAACTAAACATTGCTTGAAGTATGTGGCATTATTCAGACTTCTCTTTTTTGCACTGAAAGAAACCAGGCACTAGCAGAGCAGGAGTTAGTTGCAAGGAAAAAGCAAGCAATCCTGCTGCTTCTGTACTTAATAGGGGGCAAGTTCTAGGGCAGAAAATAAAATATAAATGCATGCTTCAGAATGAATGGGACATCTAGTACCCTCCAATTCCTTTCCTTACAGTACCAGAGAAAAAATTCTGGAACATTTTCCTGAACAGGGAAGCAAAATCTTGCATGTAACACTAACTTCAGGACTTTGTTTGTACTGGTCTGGGACACATGAATACACCAAATCCCATTCTCCTGAGCAGTATATTTCTTCTAGCTCTTTGCTCCCTTTCACTCACCCTATCCAGCATGTGCAATTTACATGAGAGCAACTTATTAGAAAAGAGTTGTTAGCCTGGAATATTAGTTGATTGCTACAGTCAAGCTTATGTACACGTATTGATTCTATCTCCTGGTTTTGGTTACTGGTTCATACAAATCTTCTGAAACTTACATTTTTCTGGAAAATTTTTTTCCAGGTGGGGGTCTTTGGCTAAGAAAGAAAGAAAGAAAGAAACTGGTTCAGGTGATTTTGAGAATAAGGAAGATGATATATATACTTATCCAATTATTAAAGTGCTTTGATCTTATATTAAAGGACTTAAGCTCCAAAATAAAGAGGAGCAGAAAACTGAAACAACACAACAACCAAAGAGGAAACCAAAAGAGAGGGTCTGATGCATAAGTACATTGCAAGTATTCAATGTGGTTTCATGTCTCTTATTAAAAAACTATTATATTCTGCTCATTTGGCCTAAAATGTGGCCCACCTTGCTTGACTTCTATAAACAAATCAAAAGGTACATCTAGAGCTCCTGCACCCCTGCAGCATCCACTGGAGCCAAAGAGAGATGAAAATGCTCAAAACTTCCGAGATTTGTGTTCACATTTATTTAGATGCCTAGCTTACGGGCCCACAATTGAAAATGTTGATTCCAAGTTTAAAATGTTGGCCTCGTTATTTAACTGGTACCCTGATGAATTGTGAAGACATCTTAGGTAAGAGAAGGGACAGAGTCCCCTAAGGATAAAATATTGCCCTTTTCAAGCAAATGGAAGATTTGCCATGGGCTCAAGAGAGCCAGTGTCAACCACAAAATGCTACCCCAGAGAAAGTTGCAAAACTTATTAACACAGTTCAAGTTACTTTTATTAATACTTTTTTGGCTGTCATAACTGAATTTGCTGCTTTTCTGTAATTAGTAAAGGTTTTTTTAAGGAGAATTGTAATAGCAGGATGTCATAATAGTTCTTACAGTTTACATTACAATTGTAAATACAACGCTAAAATAAATCTCCCCCAAATTTTTACTCTCAAAATAGTCCTTTTCTTTCGCAGCCGTTCACAAAAGTAAACCGAAAACATATTAAAAATCTATTACATATGACTGAAAATTACCTATAGTGTTATCACTATCAGATATTCATGGATAAATACTTTGCATACATAATACACATGAGAAATATACACTATATCTCTGCAGAGGTTTGCTTCCCTCCTTTCCATTCCAATAAACTCTCCACTTACCCGTCCTCTAGGCCTGTTCTTTCGTTTTGGAATATCTTCTTCCAAGTCTTCTTCCTCGTTCACTTCGTCTGCATTTTCATCATTTTCTAAAACCCTCTGTGGTTGAACAACAAACAGGAATGGTTAGAACAAAAAAGGAGGACACATAAAACCAACTACTACTCTTTACCACAGTGACTATGGGTTATCACAGTTGATACAAAGCCAAATCAGATCGCAGTACCTCTGCTTCTCTCTACCAAAGCAAAATTTTCACTCTTTTCCACCCTAAGATCTCCAGGGAATTCCTACTGAAAAACTACTACTGATATCAGTCAACTATGATAAAAAGGTTCCTAAGAACAAATACTAGAAGCACTGAGTACCAATATTCCAAGACAACACAAATATTAGTATGCATAACTGCAGGCCCTGTCTGGGAATTTGTTTGCCTGGGTTTTTTATTTTCATTTGTTGCAATTTAAATTATTTTGTTTTCTTCTAATTGTGAGAGTGCACTTCAGGAATACAAAACCAGTGGTTTTCTCCTTGGTAGCTCACAATCTTCTCTCTTGAGCAAAAATAGAGAAAATTCCTCCATATATTCCAGAATGGATCTAAAAAGCCATGTTTTGTAGGGCTTGCACCACAGGTACAACTCTAATCTGGAAGCAGAAAGTTTGTTGAATGAGGATGCTGAGGAATTAGAGCTCACAAAACTGTGAGATGCCTGGTCCAGGCAATTTCAATCTTTTAATTTGATCTTTTGAAATGTAACTTCTACAGAACCAAACACAGGCTGGCTGTCCTGCATGAAAACATGTACAAGTCAGATGTCACATGGAAAAAGGCCAGACAAATCAGCACAACACTGATGTGGGAAGAAGTCCCATTGAAATTCCCTCAACCTTTGGCATTTCTGCTAGAAATACAGAAATTTGCCCCAGCCACTCCTACCATTTATGGTGCTGTGCCATTTTGCAAGGGACTAATCTGGAATCACTAACTTACCTTTGCCATGCTAACATTCATTTAAATTACAGCCACAATGCAGAGTCAAATAGTGACATCAAAGTGATAGGAATGTTCTTCATTCTTACTGTATTTGTCCCTTCTCTCTAATTTCTACTTAAAAGCTATTTGAGAGCCAGCACATGGGGAACAGGAGAAAATCAGTCTCTTTCTCTCTTTCTCTCTTTTCCACATACCTCAAGCACCAAATTCTGAATTTGTGGGAAAGAATACAACAGAAATTTCAACTTTCAAAACATCTGTATTTAGAAGGTCAGTTACAAAAGTTTATTCTTACTTTATCAACTTAATTTCTAAGACTAATACTGGTCAGTGCATTTCAAACAAGTTGTTTGGATCAAGTGTTTTGCTTCTTCTATTTTTGAATATCAGGAGGCTGTTAATGAGCTCTGACCATCATGAACTACAATTTCACATAATACTGGAGGTGCTAAATACTAGAGGGTGTAAAAGTTAAACAGGTTCCAGTTCTGCATACATTAATTGAATTCATCTTAGGACTGAAGTGCTTGAAAAATGTACATGAGGAGACTTTAAGAATGTAGGTAAGAAAACAGGCAAACTTAGTGATGTGAGTTTGTATTTTTCCATTTCTTCATATCTTAAAGTATCTCAAAAAATCCCCAACAAAACAGGGGCAACCACATCATATGTGGGAGGGAAAGAAGCTAATTTACAACAATCATACTACACAACAGTTAAGTGAAATATTACAAACCACTTTCTTCCTGTAAAATTGAAGCATCAATTTAGGAAAGAGATAATATGTAACCAAGTGTGAATTTGGTGACAATGCCAGAGTAATTACTTTAATCCTTGATAGAAGGGGCATAACCTTTCTGCTTCATGGTCAGAAGGCTGCTCTAACTCTTCTCAAACTCTAATTCTTCTCCATCAACCAATGGAGATACACATTCAATACCAATTTGCTGCAGGGTAAAATTCTCAATCATGTTACATACCAGCTGTACTGCAGGTTCCAATACTTGTATCTATTTAGCAGGGGGAACCCTTATATGTTTTAGCAGAGTAACTTTTCTTTTCCTATTATGTCTTTCTAAAAGTTTCCCAGCCCTAGGTAATTTGGTGCAGCCAAGCACCAAGTCGTCTTCTCCTGACAGACCTGTGAATTTGGGAGGGTGGCAAGTGGCTGGGTCTCAGGTGGGAATTACAATGATGTCTATCCCACCTGCTCACTCTCACCACCATTGAGGCTGGGCCCTTTAGAGTTACAGCACAGACAAGTACACAAAGGAACAAAGGAGAGATTTGCGATCTCTTATTTGTCATACCGATGAAGGCACTGATTGTGATTTTCATCTGGTACAGTCTAGCTGCCAGGTGCCAAAGTACACACTGAAAGCTGCCTACTAGTGAAGGCTTTGGCAATCATTGTTCTACAGACTGAATCCAGATAAGCTATGCTAGCATAAAATAAAGCAGCAAGACATGCCTTTTGCATCTGTTCTGATGAAACCAGCATCCAGTTGACAGGTCACAGCTACAGCAGTTTAGCTGAAAATCTGTTCTGTTTTTTTGCACTGTTCTGCAATGCCTGGATTTATGTCACTTCCACCATCTCTGAGGTCTCTTTTCTCAGACTGCTACTGGGGATCATTTGGGAGCTCAGATCACACAGCAACATTCAAAAGCACTTGCAATTTCACAAGGATGCTGCACCATGACTTCTTGTGACCTTGAAAGCAGGTAAAAACAGACCTTTGGTAAGAGCTCTCAGCTTCATAGACCCAGATATACTACTGAAGAAGCAAACACAGAGCAAGGCTCATGCCAAGCTTTTCCCCATTCCATGAGCATGGCATGCTTCCTCTTTGATGGTGCTCTTTTACCTGTGCAACTGGGAATGGGAGACCCAATTGTGCTGCCCTTACCTGTGCAAAATTTCTAACAAATAGAGCAGTAGGACTGGCCTCCAGGTAATACAGATCTGATGTTTATGTTTTTCTGTTTCATTTCGCATGGGACTGACCCCTCAAATTTTTTCTTCTTTTAGGTACAGATGCAACATTTTGTATCTCTCCCAAAATTACCAAATTTGACACAGTGCTAATAACTCTCACTAAAAATCCCTAAAAAGACTCACGACACAATGGTGTTTTAGCATCAGCAAAGATGTGCTGCTGTTGGACAGGTCCACTTTCCTAGTGATTTAAGATGTTTTAAAAGTGCCATATACAAGAACCCTTTATACTAGCTGAATTCCTTCTTTAACAAACCTACAATTGTGTTTTGGCTTTTAACTGTTGAAGGATTAATTTAAATCTTGACAATTTTTATAACCATAATGCATGTGAAAAGGCAATATTTCTCATACTACATAACTAATAATAATTGAAATATTTAAGATTACATTTTTTTAGGATATTTGTTTTTCTTGAATACCTCCAGAAGGCCACATACTATTAAAAAAAAACAGGCAAGGCAATGACATGTTTTAATCTACAGCAGCTGTGAATCCATATTGAAATCCATGAAACTCACTTTAAATGTGAACCATTAAAATTCAGTTTATAGTTGGGATCCACCTCAGCTTCTCAGTTTTTTAATGTAATTATCTCATAGTGCTGCAAAATAAGTTCAAACACAGGACCTGTGCAGAACAGTTAAACAACAAAGATTCTTGTGACAAAAGAAGCGTGTGAGATACTGATATCATTTTGAGCATCACAGCATAGCACAAAGGTTTGATAACATTTTGGCAGTAGAATGACACAACAATCTACAGATACCCTGTTTTGCCACAGGACAAGAGACTCTTAGAGACAAACTGTAAAATCCAGTCTGATGTCAGGGCATGGGGCTCTCCCTTACCTGGATTTCTTGTATAGTGTCTTCCTCTTTAGTGTCTGTTTTTTTCTCTATTGCCTCTCCACGCAGCAAAGCTTCCAGAGTTGTACTTTCTGAGGTGAACCCATCTTTTTTCAGAGGCAGATCAACTTCTGAAAAACAAAACACACTCACTGTGTGTCTCCCCCAAAGGGCTAACAAGAAGAAGGACAGAGTTGTCAAGCAGATGATGAACAGACTTTCAAACTTGTTTCTATCTGAAAAGGAAGATCTTCAAGTTCATTTAACCACTAAGAAACTCCATTTATGATTAATTTCTATCCTATTGAAAACCTGATATCTTTTCATTTTCTGTGCTTGTTTACAGGAAAAAAAGGCTGGATATACTTTGTCAGAAGGAAAAAAATGGGGGGAAAATCCTTCTTCTTTGTGTAAACTCCCTATGCTTTAAATAAAGAACAAAACCCCAGCTTTTTAAGATACTGAAATTACAAATATGAAGAATCTGATCTCCTGAAGAAGAAAAGTATTTTAATGCAATTTAGCATCTGGCACAGTTTATATAGCACAGCTTCAATCCTGATTCTTCTACACCAGGGCATGTTCCACATGTGGGAAAACAGAAAGTGTGGGGGGCACTGATGAGACCTTACTTCGAAAAATAAAGAGATGTGTCTTGAATCTCCCTGCAATATTGACTAGATAAAATCCCTGGTTGCCTCTAGCTGGCAGTACCAGAAAGAAACCCAGTTATGAGTGCAGAATCTTGCTCATAAAATGGGACAACACCCAGTCACTGCAGGAAGAGCCACAGGCTGGCTTGGAAACAGTCTGGGGACAGAGTTCCAAAGACACTGGATTTATGAGGAAGTTTGATGCAACTTGCTGGAGAAGTGAAGGAGCAGAGCCTTATTCCCCTTTCAAATGCTGCCACTAGATTATGAGGCAATGCAGCAGACAGGCAAATACAGCATGTTAACTTTAGCAAGATAATAAAATATACCTGGGAAATAATCCAGTTTTCCTTGTACATCCTAGCCTCTACCCCACTCATACAGGGGCTCATTTTGAGCAATCCCCTGTCAGGGATATATCCTGCACATGTCTTTACCTGACACTGCCAGGCATGGATTTCTAAAGTACTCCCTCCCTTCTAAAATGAATTCCTTTCTCTAGACCGATATATTTACAAGTAATAATGTACAAGAACGATGCTTACAAATCAGCATCTGGTGTCCTTAATTCACTGTTCTGTCTGCTTATGCTTTAAGAACTGTGTTTTGTTCTGCCTGAAACTCCCTGCCTTTCTATCACAATGAGCTGTAAATTCTGCAGGGCAGAAATTCATGTGTTTTTAAAGTCTCAAATCACTCCTGCAAACCAAATAATGAATGAGCACTTCCACCTGGGACAGTAACATATAATCTGTTTCTTGGGGGCAGTTGCATACCAGGAATATGTTTGTTCTATATATGAAAAACTTTCAGTTATCAAATGATTCAGCGTCCCTGATCTGTACTTCCACAATGTACTTCCTCCAGTCTTCTGAAGTGGGAGAGCATTGCTCAGCCAATAACCACAGAAAATCCAGTAGAAATTCCAGAAAAAGCTATTCTATTCATGGAGGGAAAGGCTGGGTACAAACCATGCAGAAAACCCAAACCACTGGGATTTTAAAGGAAACTCCCAGGACAACCCACACAATGGGATGGGGTCAACTGTGAATTGATCCCCCTTCTCATCACAAGGAGCTCTATTCAATCAGGCCTCTGTTTTCAGCATTAAGCTCTGCATACGTATCCCATTATGGCCCCTTCCCCAACTTCTCCCTTGCCTGAACTATAAAAAAGACAGAAAGTCAAAAGAGAATCATACAGATTGAATTTCCCTGTATGAATGCCTAGTACCTCCCTCTGGATCCAGACATTTCAATAGAAAGAAGAGATTTTTATGTGATTTATGTGCAAATCCCAATGCTTGAATCTGAAGTCACTGAGGAACCTCCATAATCATCTCTGGATGTGGGCTTGGCTTGGGTTCAAAGTCCTGTGCTTGGGTGCAAAAGGGCATTTGCTCTGTATTTAGAACCTTGAGGGACTGCAAACCCCAAGGGGTCATCATACATTCAGCAAGCAAAGAAGCTTCAAGCAAGCTCAAGGGCATTGGAAACAAACATGTCCTCACTGTGACAAGCTCTGCCTGTCTCTGGATACCAATACATTCAGCAAATGAATGTGTTAGAAAAGGAAATGAGCAAGGAAAGGCTGAGGGATAAGTGGAACATATATGAAGGTGGAACTACTCTCCATTTATTCCAGAGATATCAAAAACAAAGTTTGAAAAGAGGGAAAGGTAGGTTTTAAGATCAAAACAGGCAGCTGTCTTTAATAGGCATGGTTGTTCTGTGTGGCACTGCTACTTCCCAATAACTCCAGGAGAACTTTTCATCCAAAACTCTCAGAGCATTTTCTAATTACTAAATTTAACATCCTACTGACAAGGCATTGTAAGGTAATATTTTTATTCACAGTTGATGGGGAGACTGAATCACCAAGAAGTTAAGTTAGTGAGCTGGGCATCCAGGGAAAATAAACTCGGTGTCTGCCTCCCATTTTCCCCCTAAGCTGACTGCCATTCAACTCCTTCATTTTCTTCTCCACTGGTAGCTTCTATGAACACATTTTAATTCCTAAATAGCTCTAGAAAGTGGGAAAAAGCAGACACTATCTTATCTGGAATGTAAAGTCTACAGCATAAAAACCTTCAGAGGTCCAAAGACAATCCCTCATAATGAATTCAGTCTTTAATAAATCCGATCCTTCCTGAAGATGGTTAGTCTGTAAAGGGTACAGTAATGAAGACAGGAAATTATGTTTCCAAACCTGTTTTTGAATCCCCACAGATGAAAATCCTCTAAAATCGAAAAGATAGTTCAGTTAACCTACAGTTAACCTACAGAAATAGTTAAACACTACCAGGGATCAATTAATTAATTTCATTAAACCCCTTATTTTCTCTTAGCTATTTAACAAGCCATGATTTTCCCAGGTGGGGTCTGTTCCACTCATTGTCCTGCTTATGAAGGTACCAGCCAGTGCCTGAAGCTTCAAACAAGGCCAGAGGGAGACTCTTCTGGGCTTAAGAAATTAAACTGTGGCCCTGTGCTTGCCTCTACTCTGATATTGCTCATGCCACACTATGCAGTCACTTCACAAGTTACTGTAGAAGCTGTGAACATCTGCCATGAGAGAAATGATAAAGAACTTACCCACCCTAATGCTGTGTTTCATCCTGAGAGATAAATGCAGTATCCCTTCCAGTTATCCTAAATCTGGCCCTTCTGAGAATACACAGAATAGCCCAGCCTTTTCTGAATTTTGATACTCTTTTACCTCAATGTTTTCCCACCTGATAGAGTCCAACAGTTTAACTATTTTTGAAAGGAGTGCTTCACTTTATCTGTTGCCCGCCCCCTTGCTCTTACTGGGGAAAATAGACGTTCTTGACAAATTTTTTTGTAGTTTCTTTTAATTCCTCTCCTTTCAAGGATAAAGAGTCACAATCTTTTCTGTTACTCAGCTGTGGGAAGTTTTCCATATGCTCCTGACAAACCTCTCTGAACTTTCCCTCGTTATACACCAGTCTTCCCAAGCTACTACACCTGGCATTTTCAGATGAAACCACATCCCCCATTTAAACAAATGAATTATGGTATTGTTTAGATTGCTCCTCAGACTGTGTCTTTCAATGGCCAAGTTATTTATTAAGCAGAACAATAAGGAATCTTGTAATGGGGACAAGAACTTCCCATAAGGAATACATTCCAACACTGAGGTACATATTATAATGCCCATCCCGCTGCCCACTCCCCAAGCATATGGACACCTCCCCAGAGTGCTCTGCACAGACCTTCCCGGCCATGATTGCTCTCAATAACTTCATAGTATCTGCAAATCTTTGAGCTGACAAGGCATTCCCACTCTGCAGCTTGTTCATTACTGTATCACACAGCACAGGACCAAGCACTTAAACTTGATGCACCAGCTGTAAGCCCTTATCTACAATGAAAGTTCTTTCTTCCATTGTCTTTTATTTCAAAAGTTTTGATCCAAGACAGTTCTCAATTTCTCTTTGGAGACATAACAAAGTTCTTCAGAATATTTAAGAGAATTGTCAACCCCCCTACCTATTACTTTTTACTAATCATGTAAAGAATTTTGAGAAAGTAGTGAGACATGCTTTTCTTTGGAAGGAAAATTGTAGTTTGTTAGAACCACCTATATCATAATTTCCCAGGTGCTTTATTGCTTATATGTAATTACTGTTTCAATCCATTTCTCAGATGTTCATGTAGAATTTATGTGTCTTTAAATCTTTGAATCACATCCAAATCCTTTTTAAATATAGGTAATAGCATTTGCTACCCACTAATTGTTCTACAATCATTGTAACTTCTAGTTTGTATCACAAGCTCTTCTTCAAACATTACAATTTCAGAGAACATAATCTTTATTACAAGTAATAACTACCAGTAAAGTCATAATTAAAAGATTACTCTTTAATATGAAAATTTTAAGAAGGTTTGGAGATAAATTTCCTTCTGATTAGTACCATAAATACAATAGCACATGGTTAATATAGCAGAAACAAGAAGTAGTAAGAACTATACAAAATGGAAATGCCAAATCAACAAAAGTCATCAATGAAAAATAAAATGTTATTTAAGAATTCTTCCTGTTTTAGTAAACCATCATGTTCTTGGTGCCACAGCTAAATATTGTGCATATATTATAATTCAAATGTGTGTGTGTGCATATAATTATAATTTATGTTTCTTAACTTGGCAGAGTCCCTTTCATAGAGATTAAATTAACGTGGTTATTTCTGCTTACCAGCTCAGTGCAGCAACCTCTCTGTTTATTAAGGTCCTGAGATTGCAGTGGTAGAATCTGAACAAGCATCCATGCCAGTATCATTCCTGTATCTGTTTTCTATTGAACTGCTGCCTCCAAAAGAAGCACATTTTCACAAATCCCACAAAATGGTGGGATTTTTCAAGTTTCAATCTGCCAAAATAGCAAAATAGCTGCAAATTCCTGTCCTTAAATAAGCTATATTTGGTTTACAACGCATTGAGAGCTAAGCAACTTTT